TATTGTGAATAACGCTACAGTGAACAGGAGTGCGGGAAATAATCCTATTTCTTTTGAATATATACCCAGAAGTGGAATTGCTGGATATGATATCTCTTTTTAATCTTCTGAGGAAACTCCATTCCATTTTTTGTAATGGCTGTACCAATTTATATTACCGCCGAAAATGTCTAAGGGTTCTCTTTTCTCTAAATCCTCAACCAATCCTTAACTTTTGAAAACTATTTTAACAGTCATTGTAACAGGTGTCAGATATTAATCTCATTACAGCTGTGACCGGCATTTCCCTGATGACAAGTGAGGTTGAGCACCTTTTCATATACCTGTCGGCCATTTAACTGTAGGTCTTCTTTGGAGAAATGTCTTTTCAAGTCCTTTGCCCATTGCTTAAATTGAGCTATTTGGTTTTTTTTGCTGGTGGACTGCATGTTAATCTTGAAAATTAGCATTGGATATGTCGTTTGCAAATATTTTCTCCCTTTCTGCAGGTTGTTTTTTCATTTTTGTCAATTACTTTCTTTGCAGAAACGTTTTAGTTTGGTGTGGTCCTACTTATTTTTGCTTCTGCTGCCTGTACTTTTGCGGTTGGTGAGTTTGTGGTAATCTGTTACAGCGCGATCAGAAGCTACTACAAGAAGCATAACTTTCAAACATGTTATTTAATCCTAGCTACCAAGTGAATTATTAATAGATTTAACATATAAAGAAAACAAGCTTAGAAAAGTTAAGTGACTTGTGCAAAGTAACAAAGTTTAAATGGCAGACCTGAGAAATGAACCCAAATCTGATTTGGCCTCAAAGTGACAACCACTCATGGCACTGCCAGTCTGTAATTCAGCACTGTTGCATGAACATCCAAAAGCTACACTTCTGCCCTTGAAAAACAGAAAGTTCTCTGGTAGCCCAAAGTAAAAGACTACGTTATTTGAACAAGCCTTCCTAATGAAAATTTAAAAAGCTGGATATAACGTCATTTAAAAATTATCAAAGAGCTGAAAAGATAAAAATCAAAGCCCGTGGACCTTCTATTAAGAGTGAAAAGAAGTTGGGACGCCTGGGTGGCTCAGTCGGTTAAGCGCATGCCCTCGGCTCAGGTCATGATCCCAAGGTCCTGGACTGAGCCCCGCATCGGGATCCTCGCTCAGCGGGAAGCCTGCTTCTCCCTCTCCTTCTGCCTGCCGCTCCCCCTGCTTGTGCTCTCTCTCAATCTCTCTCTCAAAAAAACGGAAAAAAAAAAAAAAGAGTGAAAAGAGGTAAAAGGAACACCAAAGGCTATACTCTTAGAGCAAAAGTAAACCAGAAGTCAATCAGTCTCACATGGATTTGCAACTTTGGTCCAGTTAACCTCAAGTTCAGAATTCAGTTGGGTGGGCTCACACTGAAGAAGCTTTAAGGGGCCCAGCTAAACAAATGCAAATATTCTCTGGAGGAAGGCACTTTCTACTCTTTGAGTTGATTTCTACAGATAATTTTCCAAATAGAATCGGGAGCAAATAAAGATAACCAAGCACATAAGGAAAGAAAGTACCATGAGCAAGAATTGCAGAAAACGGCAGGGCTTCACATACTGAGATCACTAAATACATATTTACTTAATACATCTTTTAAATGATGCCTTCAATATTTAAAGAAACAAAGTTTGAAGATTAAAACAAAAATAACAGATTTGATAATAACCATACAGTACAGCATACCATGAAAAACACAATAAATTTAAAACACAGGTATTAAATGGATTTGTGGTACAGTGGATTGCATCTTGAAACACAAAGGACATTAGTAGAAAAACTTGAGGGATCTGAATAGTCTGTAGGTCAATTAATAGTATGACACCGTTTCTTAGTTTTGACAACTGTACCATGGTTTCTAAAGATGTTAATATTAAATGTTAACATTAAAACTAGGTGAAGAATAAATGGGAAACTCTGGACTATCCATGCAATGTTTCTGTAAATCTAAAATCATTCCAAGTTTTACAACACATTAACAAAAAAACAGGAGGAGGCTTCCACTTAGGACAAAGAATATTACAAGAGTGACTGGGAAAACAACAAACTGAATCCTTCAGAGTTGAGGCTGCATGGCAACAACTCACCTGAACATCTAAGGAAAGAAGGCAATTCAGAGGAGAGGAGATGCATGCACACATTTACCTGGGGCAAATGCCAACAGATGGCAATAACAAGATTTAATTAAAATTTTAACAAGCTGCGAAAGGCAGAGTGTGGGCTAGTTCAACAGAAGAACTCCTGGGGGCTACAGACACAGGATAATTTACCACAACTTTGTACAAACATACAAATACACCCCACATATACATGCAAACCAAAAAGAAGAAAAAGAGAAGCAGAAAAAGAAAAAAAGGCTGAGCCAGGGCAATGTCTTGCAAACTCATCCTCATGATGATGATGATGGTGCAGGCTTGGGGGACAACAGAGCCAGTGCTGGGAAGGCACAAAGCCCAGCAGAGATCCTCCCCCTCTATCTTTCCTGGGGAACAACATTCTTAAACTCTCAAGTTGATGAAAATCCAATGCAGCTGGGGGGAAATGAACAGAAGGTTAAAACTTTCTGCGGGGGATGAGCAAGAATACATCCTGGGCACAGATTTAGAGCTGGGAGCAAGGCAGGAGAGGAGCTGGGAGAAGCCTCCACCCCAAGACCCTTCCTGAGACTTAGACAACAAGCCACGCCTTCCCTCTCTGCCTGCCCCGTCCCCCCTCACCAAACTAACAAGATTTCAGTAACAAGTACCAGAGGACGCTGTTGGGGGAGGTGCAAAAAGGAGACTCTAAGTGTAGTGCAAAAAACTCAGTGTGGAACAGGCATTGAGAAAAACTCTCTAGCAAAACATCTCCCACCCTATACACAAAGTCAAGAATGCTACAGTAATTTGAAGTCTGTGAGAAAAATTATTGCAACAGTAAAACCCAAATCCGGTACAACTCCTGACTCAACTGACTCAAGCCCTCACTGAAGGCCTCACAAAAAGACAAGCGTAGCCATTCTCAGGTATCAAAACTACTTCAATCTCCACTGTCCTACTCAAGAGGCCCAACCTTCAACAAAATCGTAGCAGGTATAAAAAAGGCAAGATGAAGCAGTCTGAAGAGACAAAGCAATCAAAAATTTCAGAATCGGAGATGTTGTAATTACCAGATGGGGAATTTCAAACAACTACTAGCAACACAGTAAAGGTTCTAGTAGAAAAGGTGGGCAATCCTCATGATCAGATGGATACGTTTAGCACAGACATGGAAACTGTGAGACAGAATCAAAGGGAAATACTGGGAATGAAAAACAGGAACAGAGATGAAGAATGCCTCTACCTGGCACCACCGGCAGACTAGGCAAAGCCAAGGGAACAATCAGTGAACAGGAAAATAGGTCAGTGGATATTACCTGCACTGTAAGACAACAGGGAAAAAGAGAGTGAAAAAAACAAAACAAAAAACAGAAAAAGACTGTGGAACAAATAGCCCCAAAGACAGGTAACTGGAGAAGAGAGAACAGGGTAGGAATAACATTTAAAGAAATAAGAGCAAGGGATGGTCCAAAATTAATGACAGACATGAAACCAAAAGTCCAAGTTCAGAGAAGACCAAGCAGGATAAGGAGGGAGGAAAAAGAAAAAGAGCACACTAAGATGTGTAATACTGAAACTGCTCTAAACCAAAAACAAGAGAAACTCATGAAGGCAGCCAGAGAGAAGAAAACATGTAACACTGAGGAGGAGGGAGGGGGAGCCAGAGAGGAAAAGACGTAACAGAGAAGCAAGGGGAAACTGCGTACAGAGCACTGAAATCATGGCAAGAGGGCACTGAACGCATCTGTTTGGCACAATGTCTGCAGAATACCCAGGAGACCTCACGGCAGCTCCCCTGCCTGGGATGACGCATAGCTAGAGGGGAGAGGTGGGGTGGACTCTTTAATGTGTAAGTCAGTGCTGAAATTTTAAATTATTTTTTGAAAAGACAGTAAATATACATATTGCCAATCTCTTCTGTCTTACGGAGATCTATAAACAACGGCCCCCATTCTGCCCAGTAAGCCAGATTTTTCAGCGTAAACAGACCTTTCAAAAGGCTACACTTTGTTCTCAAGGGTAAGTAGTAACAAGATGAAGGGGCACTACATTCTATGCCAGGTCACCCCCAAACAGAACGCAGTTTCACGGGTGTCAACAACTAGACAAGGTTCATAAGCAAAAGTCTTGAACGTTAGAGCACTTCATCAGCTGACTGTGGAAAACTCATCTTTAAATATGAGTCTGGCTGCTACCTATGAGCCCTGGCGAGGAGAGGAAAAGAGAAAGGAAGGCGGAGAGAAAACGAGGAGGAGGAGGAGGAGGAGAGAGGATGAGGGAGGAAAAAACACCAAACTTGTGGCTGTGAGCTGAGTTCCTGCGCGCTGGTGACCAAAGCTCAAGCGGTCACTGCGATCAGGGTGCTCTGCCCTCACAGGGAGCCAGGGGGACAGCCCCTGGGCAGCAGTTAGCATTCTTTGAAGAGGATCCTGAGATTCCTTTTTTAGGGAACAAAGTTTTATGAAACAACACTTATACTGAATGATTCTTCATTTGCAGATATTCATACTTTTTTTGACTTTTCAAATAACTGAATGTATACAAGCAATCCAAATTTATACGGACACAAAGAAAATTTGTTTCTTTTGAAACTACATGTGATCCTGAAGATGAGCAATTAGTAGCTGAAGTGCAAGGTCGCAGGTGTGGTGTGGACTCCATTCACAGCCACAGTCACCCACCGTTCTTGTGCTCATCTGGAGGTCCTTACCACCAGCAAAGGGCTGAAGAGTCTGCGGCCTCTTCCTGATGGCCGAAAACAGCCGCTCACCTCTATGTAGACGGTTTTTACTGCCTCAACTCTCAATGATTTATTCATGGAATAATACATTTTCAACACAATTCTTAAGTTCTAATTTAGTTCTTAAAAACTGGGAATTGATAAGGAAAATAATAAAAAGGAGCATGATCTTACTGGAGTTCCTGCGTTCATGTAGCTCTGCAGCTTGTTTCTCATGTCCTTTTCATTAAATTTGGCACTTCGCTTTACATAGATCCCTCCGTGCTGTCACATTAAAAAAAAAAGAAAAAGGGAGGGAAAATATTTACTATTAAAATATCAAATGGCCAGTCATCAAAAAGGTAACTTTACTCCCCAAAATAAAATTACATTTTAGGAATTAAACTATATTTAATACATTCAAATATTAGCATCTAATAAACATTTAACTAAAAGCTCTCCTAGGTTTCAACATAATTGAAATAAAAACTGCATGCTACATGGTACAGGAAAATACATGAACATTTAGTTTTGTTGAGAGTTAAAAACGCTTTCATTTTTTAAAATGAAAAATCGATCAATAACATAGTTCTTAGCTCTCAATTTTTCCAATGACATAGAATCACTAAAAGTATCCTTAAAATGACAATACTTATGATCTTTAGGGATTTTTAAGACTGACCCAACTACAGATGTTTATGTAGCACTGTTATGAACTCAACTGTGTTCCCCCCAAATTTATATGTTGAAGCCCTAACCCCCAATACCTGATGGTATTTGGAGATGGGGCATTTAAGAAGGTAATCAGGTTAAACAAGGTCATTTAGGGTGGGTCCTAATGCAGAAGAAGAGGAGATTAGGACACCAACAGGCATATGCACAGAGGAGAGACAGAGGGAGGAGGCAGCGGACTGCAAGCCACGGAGAGAGAGGCCTCGGCAAAAAGCAATCCTGATAACACATTGATCTGGCACTTCCAGCCTCTAGAACTGTGGGGAAATAAATGTCTGTTATTTAAGGTCCAGACTGTGGTATTTTGTTAGGGCAGCCCTAGCCAACTAACCCAGGCACTATCATACAAATTAAGGGATGCTTCGTGAAACTTTGTAAGTGTCCCTCGCCAAAACTTTACATCAAGTCACCATATTATTTGCACTCGCTTGTGCTAATTTGAACTCATCTGTAAAATAAACTGACTGGCTGAACTTGATTTTGTCTTAACCAAGATTATGAGTAAAAGGAAATGCACAGATAGGAGCAAGGAGGGGACAGTATAGAGACTATAAAGAGGAGAGGAAGCAAGGTGGCCTTCCATCCTGATGGTGGTTCCTTCCAGATAGGAACCGGCGTGCCTGAGTGCAGAGGAAAAACTCAAGGTGCTCTACAGAAGGCATGCCACTGTTTGCCCAAATAGAGAGGACTGATTCATTCTTTACTAACTCTGTAGAATTAAAAGCCACAGCAGGCTTATACCACAATGTAAAATTTCCCCAAGCTGTAGTGGATGTGAGGCCTACTCTTGACATACTAGTTCTCGCCTGTCATTTAACTTGCTTCTTAAAGTCTTTTTTAATTAAAAAACACCTGGGTTCTTTCCCAGGTATATGGAAGCTACAGAAGTGAAGACCAGGTATCTCTCCTTAAGGAACTTAAAAATTAGTGGGGAAGTGAAATATGTATACAAGTATGATATCAAGAGAATCTGGTAAGTGTAATAACAAAGACAGCCCAAGACAAAAGCAGGGTGGAGGGAACCACCAGGCTCAGGAAGGGTTTCATAATCGCATCTAAACTGGGCCTTGGAGACAGAGGAAAGCATATTGCCTTGAACTAAAGCAACAGCTCGAAGAAGGATAGGGAGGGAGAAACCGATTCAGGCTAGAAAAAGAAAGGTGGCTTGCAGGGAGGCAGGTCACGGTGGAGCATGAATGCTATGCACGGGAACTGGCACGTGGTACAGTTGAGAAACACACACTTTGAGCAGATAAGCGGCTTGACCAAATGTATGCTGGAGAAGCAAATTAACGGCATTCTGGAAAATATCCTATACTAAATGTTTATTATGTGCCTGGCACTCATGCTCAATACTCTGCATTACAGCACACTGTTTTTTAATATCCTACAGATCATAATTAAGTTTTAATATTAGTTTCTTAAGGTAATCATCTGTCGATTCTATGCCTTTAAATTTTCCTAGTTGATTTCTGTACACTTGTATTTTTGGTATTTAACTACCTAGGTGATCAGACGTGTACATAAATGCACACCATTAAAAATGCCCAAGTAAAATCACTTCTGTTTGGAATAAATTATTAAACCCATAAAAATAAACAAAACAACCTATACATTTATATTAAGTGCATGCTAAATTTCCAAATCTAAAATTTTTACAAGCTACATATATAATGAAGAAAACATGGAAAAAGTTACCTGAGAAAAATAACACCCATACAGCGGAAGCCACTTTAACCCATCTTTCAGCACGTAGCGTACATGTCCAAGAGCATTCTGCCTGATGGCCAAAATATCAGCAATAATCCAGTCAACTGCAAAGACACAACCCAATTAATGCATAAATGATCTGTCTGTGAACTCTGGCATTCCTTTCCCAGAAACAGAAAAAGCCTCCTCACAAGATTATACTAGGAATATACTTTTGGAAATATGAGAACTTTAAAATTACTTTATATCAACTGTAGACATTTAAAAATTACAAGTTCCATTTATAAAAATTTTTTGTTGGTTTTTTTTTCTTTTTGCATTCCTTGAAGGGCTTTTTATTTCAGAGGTAAAATGCAAAAAGTCACAAACCGCTGTATGATACAAAAGTAGCATGAACAAAGAATAAAGTGCCTGTAATTCTTAGTCTAAAAAAACAATAAAATTATAAGCAAAAAATGGTTAAATGAAACTGTCATATATATTGTGTATATACTAATATGTTCAACACAAGGCAAGGACACTTCATCTTTACTGGGGCATTCCAGGACACGATCCTAGGTTACGACGTCAGAGCAAAGATCTGAGGCTCACAGCTGTGCTGGCGGATACATGCCCCTTACAGAAGCACAGCACAGGTACCCAGCGGCCCAGTAACGGGCATACATGGGGATGTTATCACCAAAGGGTCGCAAAAGCAAAAACAAGACATGAGTGTGTTGATAATAACAACAACGCTTCTGGGAAGAGAGGAGAAATTCCAAACAGAAGGACTAGCCCGTGCTGAAGCAAAGAACCAGAAACCGTGTGCAGAAGGTGGCAAACAGGGGAGATGGTCGAGAGAGTCAGGGGAAATAAAACAAAATGAAGCAGGAAAACAGTAAAAAGTCTTGAAGACCAGAGACTTGGGTTTGAAAGCAAATGGCTATAAACTACTCCATCTCTTTGATAACAATGAAAACTGAACTGGAGTTTGGGATCCTTGGGGGAGAAAAAACGGTAAGAATCTCTGAAAAAAAATGTAGTCTTACTGTTGAACAGTTTCCCACAGGATTACAGCTGTGTGAGATCCTTTAGACAGGACACCACACTGGAGAGATTATCCCAAAGACAACTTAGCCAGTTAAACACTAAAAATTACTCTTGTGAAAAATCATGTTATCAATTATTGCAAATCTCTTCTTAATCTTTATCATTCACAAATTCTTTCTTGATGACTTAAGTTATAATTACACAAATTCATTCTATGACAACTCCTTTTAAGTAGAGTGATGCAGATACTCTCCCACAACCAGGGATCTCTAGAAGCTGTGTCTGTCTGCTGGAGACACCGACGCTACAGAACGATCCACTACCTCTTTACTCTCAAGTATGTGACTTCCGCTGGAAGCCATCTCCCTAGCCCCTTCCTTCTCATTCAAATCACCTCAACAATACTGATAAACACAGCTCTTTCTGATTATGTTTTGGAAGCCAAATGATCCACCTTATAATAACTGTACCTAATGTAAATAAATTGTGAGAACTAAATGTACATCTGGAACATATTTGGGGTACAAGGCTAAAAACAAGATATGGTATCTTTTCCTGGAACAATTATCTTTTTATAGTTTGGAAGAATTTTTAATAACACATTTTTATATTGAAACAAACATGGCTACACATGGCCTAGAATGCATCTTCTAAAACTTTTAAGTGTAAAATGTGTCATGTTGGTCTTAACTCTCCTGCCCTATGGCCTTAAACTTGCACAAATTTTAGTGGAAAAGCTTAAGAACTAACTTAAGTAGTTCAAAGACCCAGACTTTGTGCCGTCAATTTTTGCTATTCAATTACCTTTACTTTTCCTGTTTATTCTCAACTAGGTTTCTGCTAGGAGACGCTAGACTACAGCTGGGTTGCTGACAGCAGAGATGGGAATATGTACCTTTACAGTAACTATTCACACGGCCATAGCAGTGTCATTGTTCCTGCTACCTCTGAAGAGAGGAGAGCCAGCAAGAAAAGCAAGGCTTTTCTCATCTATGTTATTAGGTAACAACAGTCCCTAAGTCACAAGGGTACTGCGTAGTGTAACAGAGATCCTGGGCAGGAAGCACTTGTCTAGCATGGACCCAGCACCGCCTGCTCCTGGTTAGCTGCCATCGTCGTCACCACCACCACCCCTGCTGTTAAATGTCCCCCATAAACCAGGCACACTGAGAGACTAGGAGCTAGCCTATGGAAATTGCCTAAAAACTCTGAGCAGTAGACGTTCTCACAACTTATGAATAAGGCTAAGAGAAGCTACGTGATTTGCCCACTGTCACACAGCCCACTGCCGAACAGCAGATGAGCCAGGGTCTGACGGCAAAGCCCACACCTTTTTATGATAATCTCACCACACATTTTGTTAGTCGAGGCGAATTTCACTGAAACCAAGAAAAGGGTGCATTTCCTGAGATCAAGGTAAACAGTGTCAAAAGCAGGTATTTAAAAAGGCCGAGAGGAAGGAATAAGAGCCACTACAACGTCTCGGCAGAGAAATAAGTTAAGAGACTAAGAATAGAGAGACAGCAAGGACACATCAAGTGAAAACACCAGAGAAGAGACACTAATTAAAACGTCAGCTGTCTGGAGCGTGAGGCCCAGAAGAGACTTGTATTCTGGCAAGCCTAGTAGAGGGCAAACAAGACAGTCTATGTTGAATAGCAGTCTTTGAAATATTCTTTCTGCTAATTACATTTTTAGATACTAATTTGTGGTTCTTAATACATCTCAGAAGGGTCTTAAGAAAAGGGTACTCAGACCCCACCGGCCAATGACCCATGACCATGGATAAGCTTCAGGGGTCTCTGGAACCTAAAACTATACACAAATTTGTATATGCCCATATCTCTGGGCATAATCTATCATATTCTGACTAAAACCTGCAATTCTGAAGTAATTTAAAAGTCACTATCTAGTTATGTTCCTAGGTTATGGGTTTCTTAAAAGGCATTCAAAAAAAGTAGCTTTCTCAAATCCCGAAGGCTAACTGGTACAGGACCTGGTAGCAGAAAGTCTCAGGCCCTGATGGGTCAGATAAAGGCACGAGGAAATGGCTCTCTGACCTGAGAAGTGGGACTTTTTTCGAGTCAGTTGTGGGCTGACTTTGGAGCTCATACTTCCCATATTACCTTCTAGTTCTAAACACACAAGTAGGAAACAAAACTGTTTTCTTCCAAATGTTTCCCGCAAAGTCCTCACTCTGAAGCAATGTATATAAAAGCCAACAGGTAGTAAGCACACCAGTGACAGCGACGGTTCTCATTTTATTGCTGGTGTTACCACCACTGCCTCTGGGAACGTGAGGAGTACTTACTCCACATGTTCACGCTAGTTGCACAGCTGTTAATACAACTATTTCACACTGAAACCTGGCAAAAAGAAGGTTGGCAGGGAACCCGAACAAGGAATTTTAAGAGAGAATCCTCTTTAGAAAACACATAAAAACAAACTAATAAAATGAACCAATGGGTCAACATAAAGGAAATTTGGGTTGTCATGAGCCACTCCCTACCCTGGACCCATAAATCCTTTACATTTGGATACTGGAAGCCTGGTAGAAATACGCCGTCAGCAAGAGGACAAGCAGCAGGACTCTGTTAGCAGTAAAGACCCAGTGTGTCTGCAGAAACTCAAAATCCAGAAGAAAGGCTGCTCTACCGGCCAGCGCTGGAAGCAGACACTGGCCCAATCAGGCTGCTTGCTTTGCGGAAGTCAAATGTAATTAAATCGTCCAAGCCAGTCACATTCGTGAAGTCAGGGAAATACACAGATACATCAAAATTCCTATCAACCTTTGTAGAATCAACTCTTGTGCCATAAAACTGAATGTAATCATTAATAAGCTAAATTGAGAAAAATGCATTTCAACTTCTTTTACTTTCTTTACCTTACCCATGGTACAGGTAGTAGTAAAAGCAACAAAATCATGAAGAGACACAGTTGACAGGAGGAAGATAAAGAACAGCTATAGGCTTAAGTGATTTTTCCAGTATCCTATAATCCTTCAGGTTGTTTTTAGCTTTGAACTTCTGGGTAGTACATTTCTTAAAGTAAGAAAAATGGAATTTAGGAAATGTGCATCAAAAGCAGTTATAGGTTTGAAAAAATATGAAGTGGGATTTTCCTCTGGACTGAGTTATTTGTAGAACTAAAAAGTACCTTAACCAATGTCAATTTCTTGGGGTTTGATACTGTACAACAGCTATATAACATGTCATCATTGGGGTAAAATTGACTAAGAGGTCACAGGATTCCCTATACTATTTTTGCAAATTCTCGAGAATCTATAATTATTTCAAAATACAGTTTTTTTAAAGTGCTTTAAAGTATATACTGCACTGTAATTGAAGACCAGAGTCTTCTGACAGAACAGCAAGCTATAATTAAACTAAAACATTTGATGAGGCCAAAGGAACTACAAACATTAGAAATTAATACTGCCTTTAGGGAAGGAGTAGTCACTTATTAGCACCACCTTTCTGCTTAACAATCAAAAACGTAAAATGTATCCACACTTTGACCCAATTTTACTTCCAGGAACAGAACTTACAAAAGGAAGAATGCATAATTTATTTAAAAAACTATTCAAAGAAACAAAATAAATGAAAGAAAATGGGTCATTTACACCCATCAGAGGGAGAAAGGTAAATTTGGGAAAATTCATAGTTTTCCTATGCCTGACTTTCCAAAAAGGTAAAATCACAAAAACACAAGGTCATGATATAATATCTGCATTGAAAATTTCATGTTTTAACAATAACCAAAAAAATTTTCAACTATTTAAATAAATAAAAACATGATTTTGAAAGCCCATCTACTTTCTGTAGAAAACCTAAATTTCATGCAAATGAAATACAAACCTGTGCTTTGATGATTTGCTAAATATATTATATTTTCTTTATTTTTTGGCAAATCTCCATATAGCAATATCTAAAAGATAAAACAAAAGGAAACATTAATATTTCAAAACATGCACTACTGTAACAAACAAAATAGGACACTGTCAAAAAATCGACAAAGTCATGAATATTTCCACCCATGATTAACAAAAGTTAGATTTCTCTTAGCAGCATCAGAGACCATAAATGGCACATGTGTATAAAGTAGTTAAGTGGAGGGCAGGTTAATGGTCATAAAGTGAAACAGAATGATCAACACCCTCATGAGAAAAACACAACAAGCATTTATTTACTGACTGCTTATAGTATCTGAAGCTTTTTCTGTAAGATACATCTTCCTTCAAAAAGCCCACAGTGTAGTGGAAGAGACAGCCGTGTAATACAGTAACAGGAAGATGTTAACACAAACATTATGAAAAGACGGCACATTTTAGATCAGAGAACTGTCGACTGAAGAGCAGAAGCAGCATCGTGAGGTGTGGTTTTGGCAGATGGGATGAAGGAAGGACAAAGACATGGAGTGGTAGCGTCTGAGGTGTCTGGGGCCTGTGGAGGCGCCCCCAGCACCTTCGAGTCAAACGGCTGCATGCAGGGTTGGCGAGCTGGAGCAGGGACCCCAGGGAGATCTAGACCAGAATGGGAAAAGTCTTTTGAACACCAAACTGAAGATTACAACTTCATTTTGTAAGTAACAGGGACACCTGGCTCACGATTAGGACCCTCTGTATCTCTGTAAAGAACAGAGAAAGTTCACTGGGGCGCCCGGCTGGCTCAGCTGGTGGAGCGCATGACTCTTGATCTCACGGTCATGAGTTCAAGCCCCATGCTGGGCATAGGGCTTCCTTAAAAAAATAAAATTAGGAAAAAAAAAAAAAAACAAAACCCAGAGAGAGTTCAGGATATAGGTGACTTCCAGGACTGGGGCGGGCGGCCAGGATGCAACATGCGAGCTGCACACGGCGGTTCCAACTCTAGCAGTCTTTTTTTTTTATTATTATGTTATGTTAATCACCATACATTACATCATTCGTTTTTGATGTAGCGTTCCATGATTCACTGTTTGTGCATAACACCCAGTGCTCCACGCAGAACATGCCCTCCTTAATACCCATCACCAGGCTAACCCATCCCCCCACCCCCCTCCCCTCTAGAACCCTCAGTTTGTTTTTCAGAGTCCATCGTCTCTCCTGGTTCGTCTCCCCCTCCTGATTTCCACCCCTTCATTCTTCCCCTCCTGCCATCTTCTTTTTTTTTTTAAACATATAATGTATTATTTGTTTCAGAGGTACAGATCTGTGATTCAAGAGTCTTGCACAATTCACTGCGTTCAGCAGTCATGTTTTATTTCTTAAACGGGATGGTGGGTACACAGGTGTTCATTATGAGTCTGTAGTTCTGTTATGTCTTAAATATTTCACAAAATTAAGAAATTAAAAGTATATTTTTAAAGACTTTAAAGGAAAGGACTGCTAACAATGTTTTTTTTTTTTATTATTCAGGGCATTTTTGTTTCTCAGTATCTTGTCATCATGGGTTATGCAAGATTATGAATTAACTAAGGGTTTTTAGATCTATGTTTTTAGATGTCCACACAGATCTTTTGGTCACCACACTCTTCGTTAACATCTTCACAACAGAAGAAAGAAAATGACATCAACTCGGTATCTCTGTAGAAAGTGGAACTAGAGGACATAACACTGCGGGGTCAGGGACGCAGACTGAGGTTTCTACGCTCTTCCCCAGAAAACTATACCGTGCTGTACGTGTAATATATGTTTAAATATTTGCTCAATTTTTTATTAATAAAGTCTATCAGTGCCAAAAAAACAAAACAAAACCCTAAACCAACAGTTTGATCTATGCAGGGTTAAAAGAGGAGTTCTTGCTTGTGAACGACCCCCATTCTCTGGCCAATAAGCAGGAATTGCTTCAACAGCACGGGTACAACGCACTGGGTTGACAATACTGCAGTCACACGACCTTCTAACTTTTGGCTTAAGTTCCCTGGATGAGACATTCACATCTAAAGGTTTCAATTTAATTGGTTCAACCTGATTACCACTCTTTGGAGACCTGCCTGCCCCCTAGCTGAAGTCAGCACTTGAACCATCCAAGAAGAGGCTCTCCCTTTCCTTTCCTGCTCTGAGCTTGATTAATAGACTGTCAGGATGCAGCCTTTGAAGGTAAATAACAGACAAGTTATTAAAAGGCATTTTTTTTTTACTTTGATTAATTCTGGCATGTTCCGACTGGATGGGGCCAGCAGCACAGGTTGTGAAAAAAAATCACCCAAGGCAGAATGAAGGAAACAGAAGTTTACTGAATACACTGCAAGACAGGAGCAGGAAGGACGGCCAGGAGAGACTGTCTACCTAGGCAGGGGTGAGGTGCTGTAGTAACAGGTATGGGAACATACGGAATTCACCTAGTTGTAAGCATCCCACTGATAGGTGATGGCCTATAGCTATTTCCAGGTGGGTCGCCTAATGAGCCTATTGGCATTCAGCTCAGTGGTCCCTGTGGGCCCTTTTCCCTTGCTCACGTTTCCAGTGCTGAAGCCTGCTGCCTAAAAGTGGCCTCTCTGGTATCTAGAGAAAGTAGGTAGTGAATTTAATTGGGCAAAACAGATGGAGAAAACATAGTTCTACTGTTAGATCACTCTGAAGGAAAAAAACCTAATTCATAGCCACTGAAGGGAAAATATATACCTACAGCTTTCATACTTCTAAAGATTATTCTTCAGTATGCATAGTATCTCGCTGAAATAAAAAGTATTTCCAAATAAAATGCAAGAAGATGGGAAAAAAGGGTAAGCCTTTCACAAAACATAATTTAGCTATCTTAAAGTAAATATTTGGGCTGACTGCCTATTTAAATTTTTTCATTTGCCACTATAAATTGGTTGGAATTCAATAGAAATAAGTTAGAAAAGAGTAGCCTTTCATAGTTAAAACCTGAAAAGATCTAAAAGCAAAGTAAATGAAATTATGAACTACAAATCTTACTGTAATAGTTGCAAATCATTAAGTACTCTGAATTAATGTTGACTAACCAAAGAAAGGAATGCATAATTACAATCTTAGGTATCAAATATATGCAGTTTTAAGGCCCTTCACTTGGTTTATTTCCAAGATTTCAAAGAAAAAAGCATTTCATTCTAATTTAAAACTGTCAGATTTCTTTCATTAAGTGAAAGTTTTTAAATTTACTAACAAGGAGGGGAAGAAATGCAGATTCTCAAATACTTAACAGTTAAGTATTTAACAGTTATTAACAGTTATTACTACCTTATTAACAAATATATGGTTAGATAGCTGTAGTATCTACATTAAAAAAAAGTTCCTAAGAACTTACAAAATACCTATACATATAAATTATTAAATGATTATGTAGGGACCAAGGGCAGGCTGCCCCTAGACGGGACACTTTGGCATAAAGATTAAAAGTAATCAAAACCCAGCAGATGCAGGAAAAGCTATCTGCCTGGCTCTCAAAGACCTAAATTTGCATTGAAAAGGAGAGCCTGTTCCAGGAAGAGAGCTCTAAATAGACTCCCCTTTACCTAAGAAACTGATCTGCATAATAGGGCACCTCCTTTCACCTTCCTGCCAACAGCCTTCTTCTTGTATCCTAAACCCCTCTCGCCCTCTTTAGCTCAGGTCAGCTTCCCGTTGACTATCTTTGGAATCTCATGTGTGTGTGGAGTCCCCATACATACACCTATTAAATTTGGTTTTCTCCTGTTAATCTGTCTCATGGCAATTCGATTCTAAGTCCAGCTAGAAGGACCACAGGGCAGAGGAAGGTCTTCCTCCCCGACAATTATATGATGACCTATAAGCCTACCGGCACTGTCTCATTGTAACCATCTTAAATCCGCTCATCCTCAGCATGCATTTACCTCTTCTCCAAAGCCTTCCCGCCTTCTAACCCAGAGCCCAGGATTAATCACACCCCTCTTTTGCCCTGGAACAAACCCTGTTCACACTCCTAGTGTGAACTCCTAAGGAGCCTCAACCACAAGTTGTGCATATTTCTTTGCAAGTCACCTGTGCGGGAGGGGGGGGGCGGGGGGACTCATAAGCTCTTCTGTGGCAGGGTCTTCATCGTTTTTCTAACCCCCGAGGCCAGGACTCAGATGGTTTTCAGCACAAGTTTACTGAATCATTAAGCTGCACTTTTATTTTTCACAAGCAGATAAAGCTACATCTCAATTTCAGCAGTAGATAAAGCTAGATCTCAATTACAGCAGTAAAAGGTTTTGGAATAAACATAAGTAAAACACTTTAAATACACCAGTGACTTAAGGCATTCTGTGAATCTTCTAGTACATGTATTTTGAATCACATTAATTAGGTCTTTTGCAGGTAATTTGTTCCTTCAAAACAAGGCACATGAAAAACATGGCTCTTTTTGTTCTTCCTAATTCTTTAATTTTAGGTCCATCATAACTGTTCATTTTAGCTCATCCATTTTTTAAAAGCTCATCTAAAGTCTCTATAGAGGGGCGCCTGGGTGGCTCAGTCAGTTAGGTGTCTGCCTTCGGCTCAGGTCATGATCCCAGGGTCCTGAGATGGAGCCCCATGTCGGGCTCTCTGCTCAGTGGGGAGCCTGCTTCTCCTTCTCCCTCTACCTGCCGCTCCCCCTGCTTGTGCATGTGTGCTCTGTCAAATAAATAAAATCTTGAGAAAAAAAAAAAAAGTCCCTATAGAAAAAAGAACAATTTTTTTTTTTTTAAAGATTTTATTTAGTTATTTGAGAGAGAGCATGAGAGATAGAGAGCACGAGAGGGAGGAGGGTCAGAGGGAGAAGCAGACTCCCCGCTGAGCGGGGAGCCCGATGCGGGACTCGATCCCGGGACTCCAGGATCATGACCTGAGCCGAAGGCAGTCGTTCAACCAACTGAGCCACCCAGGCGCCCAAAAGAACAATTTTTCCTTTTCATTTTATTAATTCAGAAGGGGACAATAAAAATGCTCTTTGAATAATTATCTTCATTGCAACTGATCCTCTAGTTACTTTTCTGCTTTA